TAAACATTTGAGCAAACGAATTAATAAATCACATGATAGATATATAAATCTGAGTAGGAAATAACTCCTTCTCACTCTCTCTCTCCCTTTCTTACTTTACTAAATTATTAATCTGGAATTATTACATAATACTTACATCAAGAAAACAGAAGATAATTTCTAAATTATAAAAATAATTGAAAGTCCCTTGATTCCTTCTTGTCATTAATGGAATTTGGTTGCGAAGTCACACTTTAAAAAAATAAATAAATAATGAATCACTTTGCCTTAATTCAATTGATTTCTCTTTATTCTATAAATAAACTTATAACTTTATGAAGTAATTATGATATACTTTAAGTTGTTTTTATTAGCAAGTTGATATAAGCTCATACTTTGTAATCATAACGTTTTGTTTGTTAAGAATATTTGACCAAGTCAATTAAATGATGATCATTTTGATGCTTTCCTATGAAACAAAAATTTGATCAACATAAAATTGCTCTCGGAAAACAATAATATTTAAATGAGGATGTGGAAAAGGTCTAATAAGACATGATTCATTATCAAACATATACATATAAATTATTTGTTTACAATTAATCAATTTTAACTATAATTTCTGCCATCAAATGCCCTGATATGACCGAGAGTGGGGTGGGCCCTCCCTCCCTCTCGAAATGCTCTCACACGACCACGCGTATACAGCCTCTACCAGGGAAGTCCTACTCACTGCCTTCTCGTGGTGGGGGTGTCGTTTACGAAAATGAGAGGACGAAAAGCGAATGTTCGACGCTTTAACCGGATCCCAAACCAATGGTGCACATGGGCCCCAGTATCCTGAGGGAACAAATGGCGTATGAACCAATCGTTGGTCACCGGCTTCCATGTGACTGCATCTCCTCACGATGCTCCACTGTCCTGTGGATCTGACCTTTAGGTCAGAGGCTCGGGGAGTGGCCCCCTAAGAAAACCACCCGCTTCGGTCTGGGCACCCGAGCAGCATCACAGCCCATACACAAATCAAGTGACTTGTGTGGTGCATATGCATTCACTGCCCCTTCGTACCAATATTTATGTGTTCAAATAAATAATAATAATAAAACTATAATTTTTAATAGCAAAATCTTTACTAAAAAAATTCTGAAAAATCTGCCTGCTTTTTCCTTGAGTTCTGTTGCGATGACAATTTAAAGGCACATACTTTAATGTAACTCAATTATGAAATAAAGATTTATTTATCTGACCTTGGATAAAATTCTTTTTTAAAATACTAAAGATACTGTTCATTTAATTGGAATGAAATAAATTCAAAAGAATTTAAGTTTCATGATTTAAATAGAAAAGGAAAAGACAATTAGAACCCCTAGATGATATCAAGTTAATTTGTCTGAAAATTTATGAATTAAAAAGATATATTTCAAACAATTTAAATCACATATATCTATCTTCTAAAGTTACAGTTAAATGAAATAGTTGAATATTTTTTCTGCTTTAAAATAGTTGTATCCCCTTTATTTCCTTAAAAGATTTATAGATAACAATGAAATTCAGGGTGCGTAATTTATCCTATTTGAGACTCGTTAGTTGAATGCACCTGAACCGACAAAACTCTAATTTATGGACGACCTTTGAACGAATCTCAATTGACCTTGAGAAATATTAGCCAGTCAGCACACAGTATAGAGTAAAATTATATTATACAAAACCATGGAAATAAAGTGGATACACGTCTTATACGTGGTTCGAAACCTTGTCAAGGTTAGAAAGAGATTCAGAGGCTCTAAAATCGTAATGCATGCAGTAGAAGAAGTCATCCAGACGGCTACAGAATAGTTGGCATCTGGAGTCATGATAAAGTCTTAAAAACTCTTTCAGCCTCGGCCACATAGCTTCAATATTGTCTATGTGCACTTCGGTTGTTGAGTGCACAAAATGCTACTTGTGGATAACAACATGATGCACATAACCAAGCCTATGTAGGAGTCTGTACGCTCTCCAAACATCCGTCTATATATTTTAGTACCTAACTGCAGCCAGTGTTACGGGTGCTTTTATTATCCAGCTCGTAATAATTGTCGTAATTTGCCTTGGTTAGGAATCATATATGGGGTTTTCATCACGAACGGACATCAGCTATAATGCCAGAAATTTATTTAGCCGAATGGAGGAAAGGCTTTCGTGCCCAAATCCGAGATCTATTATCTTATACCTGATTGATTCGTCAACAAATTATAGTCCCGCCGTTTTATTTGTTATAGCCTCTAAATTATCACGTTTTGTATAAAATTCCCTGTTAACCAATCGCACGTTAGCATTAAGCACTGAAGTTGGCGCCGTAAACTTGAAATCTCTAAAATGCTTCTGATTGGCTCGTCCATAAATTAGAGTCTCGCCCCTGAATCTATTCAATCAAGAATATCGCATACTTCAAACTCCTTCTAATAGTGATATAGATACAAATCTGTTTATAGATGTAAAAATATGGATATTCTTAGATTAATATCACTCAAAACTGAATAATAATGTATGTACAATGACGACTAAAAACAAATTATTGCCCTAGTTTCCACTTTAGTAATGCATACCTATTTAGCTTGTCAATGTACTAATCATTAGCTGATTTACCAACATAAGTCACAATGTTCCAATAGGATCCTAAACTTATACAGATGAATCGACAAAATTATTGTGGGATATAAGACATTTAAACTGTGTATGGAATTAAAGACTGACTTTATTCACTTACAAACTTAGCGCGTTTTTATGCAACTACAAAACCACGGATCAACGTCAGAAAAAATAAAAGTAAAAAATGCAAATTTTTAACCAACAATACGATGATAAAAATATGAAACTGAATTCTTTAATGGTGTGAAAAATACAGTCATACAATTTTCATCAAAACTTAGTATTATACTTTTATAAAAAGAGTAGTACGCTCGACAGCCTCCTTGCATTACAAGTAGAGACATCTATTAAACGTAATCCACCTATTGTTAACTTGAACTTCAAAATTCCACTTAGCACCAATCATAGAAGTAAAACTACTTGATTTTAAGGATTTTTTATTCAAACGTAAAATTCGGTATAAATAGTCCCATATTACTCGCATTGTTGATCAGTATAATATTTTAAACTATTCAGCGTTAAAGAAAGTAAATTGTGAATCTTTTTACCAATTGATGATTATTTCTGATACTATTATTTATACAGTCGATTTTGAAGGCAGAACACGACGACTTTAGATGATCAACCGCAGTACTTACCGTAAGGCGTATAAAAATAGAACGATATAATCCATATTCTAAAAACCCATTATTTATGTACAATTAATCCTGTGCTTTATAGCAAACGCAAGTCTGAGAATAGGCATATTTTCCATACTGCTATGTCAGCATGATTTCTTTCCGCCTACACCACCCACATCAAAAGGTTGATGTTTCAGTGATTATTTTCATTTTCGATAAAGTCTTTTAAGTCACTCACGCTTCAAAATGTGTCAGTCAATAAGTAATTAGACTGCACCTGAACGCCACTCTATAAGTCGTGTCATACTATCTGTATGACAAAATACTTTTGGTTATTTATCTGTTAAACGCTAAACTTAAGGAAAGTAAAATCTGTTATGTGTTCAAGCATTTTTTCCAGCTCCATTTTACTTTTGATCAGAAGATATGACCGACCAAACCAGTTAAGACGTATATTATCACTATCTAACAATTAGAGGAGATTTTGGTTTTCACAATTTTCAAAATATTTGTGTAATATTAAAGCCATACTATTTGAGGATAAAATACGTCTGTAAAAAGTAAATTTTCCACTTTATAACAAAAATTCACTGAGGCCAAATAAATGTAAAAGTGTGTTCATGCTTTTTAGGAATATGTGTGTATTGTCTTGCTTTAAATCATGGTACTCATTAAAATTATCTAAATACATCCTTATTTCTTGACAACAGATGAGCATAATGATGATATTCATTGTTTTAACTTGTAAATTTTAACCACTATATGTCTGCAACCTTAAAAAGTGTTATTGTGCTACTGATTACTAACTTTAGACGAAGAAAGATAAATTTCTTGTTTCTAGTAGATTATTGTATTTGATATAATGCATACATGAGTTCTGTTCAGCCCACTCTCGAAACAACAAGCATCTTGGAAAACTGACTGAAATGTGATTAGTAGGATTAACAAAAACTAGTTAAAATAAATTTTCATAGAAAGAAGCCATTCGGTCCCATTGCTGCTAACATAATAATTTTGGAACCTATGAAACTCTAATTTTCTGTTGGTCAAATAAGAAAAAACACTTGGAAGGATCACAAAACAATCGTGATATATTTTGTCGAAAAGCGCACTATCTTCGTTAGCCATTAATCTTCCAGGATAAAATAAGACGAAAAATGGATTTGTATCAAAAATTTGCACTAAAAAAGCTAATTCCTCAAAAGTTGTTGAGTTGTATGAAAAAAATCGTACTCTTGTCGTCGTCAAACACTACGGCTTAATTTAAGGAATTCCATAAGTATCAGCTCATAAATATTTTGTCGAATTAGTTTCTTAAAACACTCTGTCAATTAACCTGCCTCGAATTTCGACAAAAGTTCAGGCATATTACATTCAAATAAACGATCAACTGAAAGCATTACCATCACGTGTAAAAGCATATCAAAAATTCCAACTACATAAACTGCATTTCATGAATACAGTGTGAGTAGTAAAATGTTCCAGATGTTAAAACAATTGTCAGACAATTTTAAGATTCAAATAAAACCAGAAAAAAAAATCGATGCAGAATAATATGAATTCATTTTATTTCGAGGTCTCGCGCCAGCTGCTTAAAACCAAATATTTATTGGAATTTAAGCAAAATGTTAAATTCTAATACATATTTGGTTGTAAGTAGCTGACGCAAAACCTCTAAATAAACTGAGTTCATACTTTTCTGCATCAATATTTGTTCTGGCTTTATTTAAATTCATAAAGTGAACCAATTACATGGAATTTTGAAGTTACCATTTAGAACAATTTGAATCACGCAGCCAGAAACTATATCCGAAGTGCTTGTAACTTGACAATAACCATCAATCGTATTATCTTTGTTGCAGTAGAGTGTAATATTATCCACTATCTTACTCTCATCTCGAGTAGATACCTATAATAACAATAATCACGATATTTTAGAAACCTACCAGCTTTTTTACAACGTCAGCCGCTGCCAAGTATATGTCACAAAGTTCGAATTTTTTTTCAACATAAACACAAGCCTGATATGTCTCAAGCTGCAGGAAAAAAGCAAAGGCCATGCAAACGTGAAACGATAGTTAAAAAACTACAAACGCGTAACACAAAACTGCCTTGACTTTTCAAGAGTTCAAACAAATATGAATGTTCTTCCAGTTTTCCGCTCTCATTAAAATGCACTCTATAAAATCTATTACCTCTAGGTTTTAGCCACTTAATTTTGGAATTTCAATTTTCTGAATTTCAAGTTGTTCTTTCATTGCAGTAATGTTTACTAATAACTTCGAATTGATAAACTTAAATATACTTCTTTAATGGAAAAAACTGCAAACCTGCTAGGCATATCATTGTGTAGTCATGTCAGGCATAGTAGGGCTTTACTGTTGCTTCCTATTTCTCTGTGAAGAACTATACCGAAACACTAGAAGTGGTAGTTTCAACACAAAGAGATAACTTCATGTCATTGATATAAATTGAAATAGAAACTTTAGGAACTACCACTTATAATGATAGCCAAATACCATTCTTTTCATCCATGTTTCACTTATTGTATACTACTCATCGACTTATGAATTTTAAAGGGTAACCATTCTCCATCAATGTTTTCTTCAACAAACTCACTTCGTCATCATTAGCATCGTTCGTGAAAATACAATCAATCCTATTAAACAGGCTTTTTATCAAGTCCTATTTCTATTAGTCCGAAGAGTAACTATGACAAGTGAGATACGGGCTTGTCCAGGTTAACTTTCTAAGAATGGATTGTTTGATCTAAATATCTTCTCTTATTCTCAAAAAGGAAGCTGGTCGTTCTCCTCATTTTCACTGATGTGGTTTTGAGAAGTATTATGTGTGTTCAACGAAAAATTCAAAGCCTCGCACTGATAACTAACATCAATCATATTATCTCTCGTAAATATGTAGTTGTAACAGGTCATAAGGTTGATCTTAACTCGACGTTTTTGGCGTTGTACGAAGTGTTTAGGAGTGTATACTAAGGCTTCTTGAGAGTTGGCCACACAAAAACTTAAGCCCCTTTATGTATTCAAATATGTTTTCACTCCAAGACTGTCCTGGTAATATTATTTCATTATCCAGTATGGAAAGTTTCGTATTGTTCTTCACATGATTCTCTTGACTGTTACATCTTATCCACCATTTGTCCGGTTAACGTTTTCTGTTTTCATATATAATTGTTCTCAACAAGTATGTGATCAGATTGTTAGAAGTGTATTGTGTTTATATATCACATAGTCCTGATAATCTTCGTCTTCTTTCTCACACCATCCAAATCCATCACTATGGCACTTTTTGCTACTTACTCGTCTTGCTTAATGTAATCACATGCCAAACCTCTCGTCTTAGGTTAGAAATCTTAATACACATGTTATAGGTCGTCTTGGCAGAGTCACGAAACAACCATTAGGCCAGAAATATGTTTCAAAAATGATAGACATGCGATGACAACCACAATATCACTGAATGGTTGCCTAGTTTCCACTCATAGAGAGCCCTAATTAAACAAAATTATCTGCTTTACAAGCATGATTTGATTACAGTCATCGGCTCAAAATTGGGTATCACTGGCATATAGCTAGTATTGTGTAACGTATTGACTGGTTGTTTGTCGCAATAGATGATTCGCACGACGAACTGAAATATGATCCAGTGCGCGTCACTGGACAAAGACCTTCAGCTAGTGGTGTAAAGAAACACATAGCATTATTCCTTGACCTGTCTTTGGTCGCTCCAGAATCCCTCTGCTTGGTTCACCCCAATTTCAGTGGTATCTGTTGTTGATTGTCGTATTACATAGCACGGAGTAAAACCATAGAAATAAGATGGTATATGTAAGATCCATTTTGAGTGCTTTGTGTGTTTATGAAAATCCCTCCATGTATATACTTACACTTTGTTCCTATTGATTCTTTTAGTTGTACATTGTTAACTTTTTGACTACATTTGAATTATTAATACTTGTATTTTATTATAGTTTCGTTTTTACTACACCTTCACCAATTCCCCATGTTTCTTCCCGAACTGCACTTATGTTGTTTTACTTTATACTAAGTCTGGGCGGCAGCCATTTTGGTTTATCCCTGCTTTTGATTGCTTGACCTGTGTTGACTGGAATTGTGCATTTTGGTCGTGAATTGAAGCACTCTTCCAGAATTGAAAACACTCTGTGTTATAGAGCGACCAATTATTACCTTTTGAACGAATCTGTACGTGATCTATCCAGACAAGATAGAATAACATTTATTTGTGGTGATTGGTAATTTTCTTGCATCTTCTGTCAACTTCTTTATTTATTGTAATTTAGATTTAATTGATTGAGCAATCATTGGTTGAATAGCCGGGTGATAATATTTGTTTAGGTAATGATTTACATTAAATTTATTATGAATTATAGAACCGCTAGTTACCCGATTACTTGTTCTGATTTCGACGGGAAAGGGCGCGTGTCTAAAGTCCCCGGTAGGCTATTCTTCAACATCCAAACCGTAGTTTGGATCCTACAGTATATATTATTTGAACTCACTTTTCTAGACTTTATGCCATCTAGTGCTTGCTGCTTGGTGATTGTACCAGTCATCATCATTGTACCGAAAAATGTTCGGGTCTTCTGGGTAGTACAACTTACTGTGGCTACAACATTATTCAATTCCAACTATTTTTGGGACGGTGGACACAGCATTCCTAATATCTGATATTTCCGTCGAGTCATAGCAAATATATGGCAGAAGAAACCGTCAATAGTCTCTCCAGTAAAACCAATCTCGTCAGCATCAATTTTGATTGCCGATAAAGCTATATAATTTTGGTAAGTACTTCCCACTGAATTTTTATTATTGTATCAGCAACTCCGCCCGAAGCCCCTCTGAGGCTACTGACGGTCCCGAGCCCGGATAAAGGAGGAGGATTGGGCATGGGGTTAGCGACCCCATCCCGTAGAAAACTAACTTGCTAAAAAAAACGCTAACCGGAAAGCATAATTCCAACCATTTTAACTGTTCAAAGTCTTCATTTAGAAGAGTTATGATGCCTCATAATGAATGCCGACTTCCTTCGGAAGGATCATCAAAGCCTCCTTCAAAACAAAGAAAGAGGCTATTGCAATAAACGTCATCCAATGCTATGCGCCTACCAACGACTACAATGAGGACGTTAAAGATCAATTCTACAATAGGCTGCAGTCAATCATCGAGAAGTACCCAAGAAAGGACCTGACTATTCTGATGGGAGATTTCAATGCCAAGGTTGAAACGGACAACACCGGAAATGAAGACACCATGGGACGACACGGACTGGGAGAAAGGAACGAAGATGATGAAAGATTTACAAACCTATATGCCTTCAATAAACTGGTCATAGGCGGCACAATATTCCCATATAAGCGCATTCACAAAACCACATGGACTTCACCGGATCACACTACGCAGAACCAAATCGACCATATTTGCATCAACAAAACGTTCAGGAGGACTATAGAGGACGTGGGAACCAAGAGAGGAGCTGATATAGCATCAGATCATCACTTGCTGGTCGCCAAGATGAAATTGAAACTCAAGAAGCACTGGACAATGGGGTGGACAATATCACAAAAGTTCAATACGGCCTTTCTTCAGGATACTAACAAACTCAACAAATTCAAGATAGTCCTCAGCAACAAGTTCCAGGCCTTTCATGATCTACTCAATGGAGAAGGAACTACTATGGAGAGCAACTGGAAGGGGATCAAAGAGGCAATCACTTCAACGTGTCATGAGGTCCTGGGTCACAAGAAGCACCATCACAAGGAATGGATCACTGTTGATACATTGGATAAGATTCACGAAAGGAGGAACAAGAAGGCAGCAATCAATACCAGTCGAACAAGAGCAGAAAAAGCCAAGACACAAGCTGAATACACAGAAGTAAACAAACAAGTGAAGATGAGCATCAGAACCGACAAACGTAAATATGTGGAAGATTTAGCAACGGCGGCGGAAAAGGCTGCAAGAGAAGGAAACATGAGACAATTGTATGGCACGACAAAGAAACTCTCTGGAAATCGCCACAAACCAGAACGGCCAATGAAAAGCAAGGAAGGCGAGGTAATCACCAACATTGAAGAGCGACAAAACAGGTGGGCAGAACACTTCAAAGAACTTTTGAATCGACCAGCTCCACTGAACCCACCCAACATCGAAGCAGCACCCACGAACCTCCCAATCAATGTTGGTCCACCAACAACTGAAGAAATCAGCATGGCCATCAGACAAATCAAGAGTGGCAAAGCAGCAGGACCAGACAACATTCCAGCAGAGGCACTAAAGCAGACTCAGCAGTAACTGCAAGAATACTCCACATTCTCTTCAATAAGATTTGGGATGAGGAACAAGTACCAAAAGACTGGAAAGAAGGACTTCTGATCAAAATACCGAAGAAAGGAGACCTCAGCAACTGTGATAACTACAGGGGCATCACTCTCCTCTCAATACCAGGAAAAGTCTTCAACAGGGTATTGTTAAACAGGATGAAGGACTCCGTAGACGCCTAACTTCGAGATTAACAGGCAGGATTCTGTAAGGATCAATCGTGTACAGACCAAATCGCAACTCTACGGATCATTGTGGAATAATCAATCATCATTGTACATTAACTTCATTTACTACGAAAAAGCATTTGATAGCGTGGATAGGACAACACTATGGAGGCTTCCTCAACACTACGGCGTACCTAGGAAAATAGTCAATATCATACGGAATTCATATGATGGATTAAACTGCAAAATCATGCATGGAGGACAGTTGATAAAGTCGTTCGAGGCAAATACCGGTTTCAGGTAACGTTGCTTACTCTCACTCCTCCTCCTTCTCCTGGTGATCGACTGGATCATGAAGAGGTCAACATCTGAGGAGAACCATGAGACACAGTGGGCAGCTAGAATGCAGCTGGACGATCTAGACTTCGCAGATGATCTAGCTCTTCTATCGCACACGCAACAACAATGCAGGAGAGGACGACCAGTGTAGCAGCAGCCTCACCAGCAGTAGGTTTCAACATATACAAAGGGAAAAGCGAATGTAAAAACCTTCACATATCTGGGCAGCATCATTGATGATGCAGATGTGAA